ATTTTGCATGCACTTTAAATACTGTTGGAAAGTACAATAAATCTTCTGACTAGTGAGTTACTGATGAACTTAAGAATTGGTCTTCTGGATAATCACTTGCACAATTTAGATTTTCCGGGCTGTTTTGGATGGTCCAGAATTCCTCAGCACAAATTAGACAAACATCTCACTGCTTAAGCACAGTTTAGAATTTATAGCACTTCTTTGGCTCTAGGACTTTCACTCTGCTGAATTTCAAAGTACTGCAGCAAGAGAAACATTAGGTTCTCTCTAAAAAGGTCACAAGAATCAAAAGTGTTACACAACCTAAATACAGGAGTTGCTATTAGCTCCCCCAATACCATATTTACCTTGATTTCTTAATCATGTGAGTTGGTAGAGGCCCTAACATTCTCTCCATCATTGCCAAGTGTTCTTTACTATCATGTGTCTGTAGAAAAAAAAAGTCATTACAATTTATACACTATTTCTTCCCTTCCACTTAAGTATACTTATTCTACACATCAAATGTCAGCCATGCTTTATCACAGAATCATTACACATTACTAAAAAATCAGGTATGCAGTGCTGTAAGTAGACACTATACTTTCCAATCAGAGTAAAGTGTTCCCTGAACAAAAGTTTATAATCTAAACAAGATCATACATACATTTAATTATTCCTCTTATCAGCTTTTTTATAGTCTAGACAGTGTTTAGGAAATTAATATGTACCCACTTTAACAGCAAAATTTGGTTTAAGATACTGTAGACAACAGAATTTTCTGAGTAGATCTGTATTATAACAATTTAAATTTATAGTGACTTTCATCCTTCATGAACATTAAGCTTAAATACCTGTTTTTATTATAACCATTTTACTGATATATAGTCTGAGAGACAGACAGAATGAGTGATGTGCCTGAGATCACTCAGTAAGTCAGTGACAGAGTTTTGATTAGAATCTAGAGGTACTCACTCCATCCATGCTCTAACCTATTAAGACATGCAACTGCCACGTCAAAGGTTCTTGAAAGCACAGGAAGCCTTTTAATATATCTCCTCCTACTCATCTATATAATTGCCCCTATACTCTCCTGATCATATGCAGTATAAGAACACCACAAAGTCTATGGACTTGCGGCATATCTAGCAATTCACCATGTTCATCTGAATTAATTTTTTGAAACTTTAACATCAGCCAAAAGACTACTGGAACCTAGTTCTATCTACTTCATTCCTCCCTGTAAATCACCATATCTACAAATAAATTATGTAAAACTTTTGGTGTTTTGCTTGAGAAAGTTATAAAAGCTAAGGGGATTTTAAAAAAAGTATGACTACACCTCTACCCCGATATAACGCTGTCCTCAGGAGCCAAAAAAAAAAAAAAAATCTTACTGTGTTATAGGTAAAACCGCGTTATATCGAACTTGCTTTGAACCGCCAGAGTGCGCAGCCTTGGCCCCCCGGAGCACTGCTTTACCAGGTTATATTCGAATTCGTGTTATATCGGGTTGCATTATATTGGGGCAGAGGTGTACTTTATATTTTGTAAGACATTGTATGTAACATCATGTTCTCTTTATATAAATGTATCACTATTTACACTTTCTATTATCATACTTAAATTTGCAAACATATTTTATGCCTCTTATATTTACATTCTTTTAAGTAGATGGCATTAGAAAATCAAGTCAAGAGCCTGTAATAAAATGGTACATAACTGCTTAACATACATACCTGAAATACTGTAAGACCAAGGTAATATTCAATTAGAATGCAACCTATACTCCAAACATCACAGGGCTGTGACCACCCCAGTGCTACAAAAGACAAACAAAAAATCCAAAGCATGTTTAATTTTTAGCTTAGGCTGAAACTGTATAAGTTACCAATCAACCTCCACCTATTGTTTGCCTAATTCCTAAGCCATTTGTCCTTACAGTTTTTCTCTCCCTGAAATCATTTTGACAATACAGAAAACAGAATTTGGCTGGAAAAAAATGAGAACTGTCAGTTTTTTTTAACGTGTAGAGTTGTTGTAGCCATGCTGGTCCCAGGAGAGAGAAGTTGGGTGAGGTAATATCTTTTATTGGAACAACTTCTGTTGGCAAGAGAAACAAGCTTTCAAGCCATACAGAGCTCTTCTTCAGGTCTGGAAAATGTACTCAGCAGTTATGTTTACACTGCAACTAAATGCTTGTGGGCTGGCCTACGACAGGTCACTCAGGCTTGCAGTGCTCGGGCCATGGGACTACAAAACTGAGGTGTGGATGTACGGGCAGGGGCATGTACGGGGACCCAGAGCTCAAGCTCCAGCCTGAGCACGAACATCTACACTACAATTTTACAGCATCATAGCCTGAGCCTGCTGACACAGATCTTTAATTGCAGTGTAGTCATACCCAGAGTGTCACAGCCAAATATACGGCAGAACAGATGGTTTAGCACAAGTAGTTAACATATATTTCAAGGGGCTGTTCAAGGTGAAATGGCCTGTTAACACCTCTCTGGTCATAGGTGGGGAAAGGAAGAGTTAAGACTAAGAAAGCGGCTTTTTATTGAGCTATTAATAGGGTAAGCCATCATTACCTACTAGATCAGGGGTTGGCAACCTACGGCGCGTGTGCCAAACACGGCATGTGAGCCGATTTTGAGTGGCACGCTGCCTGCCCGGTGAGAGGACGACGACGAGGGGCCGGAAAGCGCCACACTGGGGGAAGAAGCGGGGGAGGGGGGAAGCTTGGTCTGCCGCAGGACCAAGCTTCCTGCCTCCTGCCCCCATTTCTTCCCACAACGTGGTGCATTCTGGCCCCTCCTCCTCCCAGAGGAGCAGAGCCGAGTGCAGCGTGCTC